CGCATTTTTTTCTCCCAATCATTTATTTTTTGCCGACGAATTTCTGTGAGTCCATGCCCTCGCTTAGTGTTATCAAAATGCTCTATTACTCGTTGAGCTACACAGTTAAGTGCTCCATCTTTTATAGGTATTAATCGATTGACATCTGGCTTTCGGATTCGATATAATCCATATACTACTGCATTACTGTCAAGCTTCCCTACCTCAGATTGCTCACTGACTTCTCTAACCAAAAATTTTTCATCTATTCCTACCCAAAATCCTGGTTTCGTTTTCTTTGTAAGTATAACATTTGGACCACCCCCGACGTATTTTCCACCTGCCTTTTTTGATTCACGAATAGGCTCATATTTATCAATAATTTTAAAAGCGATCTTTGCTTGAGATTCATCTCTATATACAGAATCATCTCGAATGAATTTTACCCTTATTAAGAACTCACTATTATCGATTGCATTCAAAATTTCTTGGGCTCGCCCTTCGGTCATTCCAGCTTCTAATTTAAGTTCCTCAGTATCTATAAACCAGGTTGAAAAGGCATATTCAGCTCCATCTACCTTAAATATATCCTTTGCATACTGAATTCCTTTCTGCCAAATTGCACGATGTTTTTCGTCATCTGGAAATAAGACTGGCCAAGATACTTCTATATCCAAATCTAGAAAATGATAAGCTTGAGGTTCTGGATTACTAGGTTCACTAATATTTGATTCCATTAGATCGAACCATTCTTTATCTGTTTTAGGAACTAATTTGGATCTAATTTTTTTGTTATTTTTTATTTCTGGTTTTGATAACCATTTTATTAGTTCATTTATAGTTAAAACTAATTTCTTTTTTTGCTCCCTATGTATTTGTGTTCTAGGACCTGGACCAGCTTCGGGATCTGCTTCTGGAATATCACCAGTTAAAAGATCAACTGCCGGCACACTCGGCTGAGCTGGCTGGTGTGTTGGCGGGTTTTTGTCAAATGATATTAAATCGCCTTCGGAGGCTAGTGCTAAATTGTCTACTGGAGCTGGAGCTTGAATAGTGTTTCCAGTTTGAGATATATTTTGCGCTTGCGTTAGTTGCAAGAGAGCCCGACATGGTCTGAATCGTGTTAAGTCCATATGCTTATTAAGATCTCTTGTTTTCCCAGTTTTAGGGCTCCATCCACATCCTGGACATTTACCTACCATATTTTTCGGTGTTTTTTATTATATTTTAATTATTCAGATCCTTTGTTTAAATAAAAAATATTTATTTCACCTATATATCCTGTCTACTTACAAGTTCATGTTTAGATAGGTATAGTTAACTAATTTTCTTTTTTTCCGAACTAGAGGAGGAAAAAGTTTTATGTCTTGCAATTTTATTCTCGCCAGCTCTGCCTTCTCGCAGATACTGTTCAAAGCCAGAATGAAACTTAATCCTACCTTCTTGCATATATGCTTGAAGTCAGAAAAAACTTGCGAACAGAAGGTATAAAAATACACCAAAAAATTAGTACCGATTTTAA